TGTACAAGATCAGATAAAAATGATGAAAAACATTTAAAATAATCTTTGAATTTTTTTTTTGTTTTATCGAATTTGTGTAGTGAAAATAATTTCAAAATATTCGAAGTAATAAATATGATTCATTCAATAAATATACGACAAAAATAACAACTAAATTTGACTTTTTTTCTTGATAGTGAATAAACTGCATCAAAGAGTCTAATCAATGTTATTTAAATGTCAGGCTTCTTTTATTGCAACGGAATAAATAAGCATAGGAATAAAACATTTTGGTGTCCTTCAAGTTGAAAGACAAACTCAGTTAGTGATATAGAAGAGAACAGAAAAAAATTATTCATTCTGAATACTTCTTTCGCTCATTTATTACACGAAAACTATGCGATTTCTAATAGCTGTGGTGTTCGGACTCTTCTTCTCATGTCTACAAGGTTTGCTGATTTATTTCTTCTCATTTCAATTTTTTCATAGTACAAACAAAATACTTAGGCCAAAGTACAGTAGCATTTGATTACCATTGTTATGAAAATAATTACGACGTTCAATTTACATTATCTTTGTCGCCTCATTCTGCATGGCAACAAACATTAAATTGTTCTTTACAACAATGTCATGTAAACTCCAACAATAACAACAGTTGTCGTTCGTCATCAACATCTTGCTACGATTACCGTACACTCAGCAATACTACTTATTGTGCACCCGGTATTCTATGTTCTATTTTGGAACCATGCAACAATATTACCTACACTTGTGCATCAAATACTTCTGTATGCATCATTAATTCTTGCTGTTCACCACAAGCAATATGTTTACCATTGTTATTGATAAATGTCTGTCAATCAGGTAAAAACAGATTTTACTCAAACATATGAGTGTATAAGAACTAATTAATGTATTTTGTCTAGAGTCTAGTTGAGACCTGATTCGACTTTAAGAATTCACAATTAAATAAGTCTTGTTGTAGAGTGATGATAATAACATGAAAGATTAATAAACGTAAATTCTAAAAATCAAGCTAATGATGAGAACAGAATGAAAATGAGATGGAGAATTAAAAAAATATTAACATTTTCTATTTAAATAGAAAATAAGAGAACAATGCGATAATGTAAATTGACTAGTACGACAATGATTGATTTTGTAATAATTTAAAGTCTTGTTTTTCTTTTGTAAAGAATAACTTATCATTACAGTTCTCATTGAAATTCAAATGAGCAACACATATGATTGACTTTTTTTTATATAATCAGTTATTAGTATAATTGTAGGGAGATTTGAGAGAATATTTTTTCGAGATTTTTTGATTGTTCAATCTAGAGACGTCTTTATTATTCAAAATGTGGAATGAAATCAACGACATTGTTATGGACAAAGGAACTGTTTCCATTAAATGCGTTCATGTTTCTGATTTGACACAATTTATTTCGATACAATCTTCATATATTAAAGCAGCAAAGACTTGAGAGATATTAAACTATAATGTGTATGATCAAAAATATAGATAAACAGCATTCACATATAGATCAGTTCCGGTTAATAAAAAATGATGTAAAAGTATTTAGTCGAAAATATCTAACTTTAAATTGCTGTGTACTTCCTGCTTATTCATGTTTCATTGATAAAAAAAAAAGGTTATTTAAAAGAAAATTTCATTTGCTCACCGTCAGTTTCTATATATTTTTTAAACTTTTTCTTACTACCGCCATCATTTAATAATATTAATTTACTGCTACATTGAACATGATTCAATCGATGATGGCTGTTCTTGATAATAACATTTGTCGACTTGGGATAGTTTGAGAAATATGCTACATCAATGATTGGCATAATCAGCAATTACCTTGTTTTCTCCTCATTTTTGAATTACACCATCATCAACTCAACTGCTATATTTATAGCAGTGACTGGTTTAATATTTGGATTAATTTTGTTCTTCAGTAGACACATTTCTGGAACTTTTTCATCGAAGGTTTTGTTTTAGTAAGGCTTTGTCAATATATTAACGAAAATATATACTTATTGCAGTGCCTAGGTGACGAAATATGAGCTGATTTTGCCAGAAGTATGCTCAAAATCGGAGAAATTTAGACAGTAATTGGAATCGAAAAGTCTTCGATTATTTATAGTGACTTCAGGCTAAATTTTTGTTCTTCCAATGGCAGACTGCCTGCAACTTACCGACTAAGAGTATTCCTGTCAATCTCAATCGACTTTTTGTTTTTCATCTTGATGAAATGATCTTCCTGCAGCCTTCCGGCCGGTTCCAGTGAGATCGATTTGTTTTTGGAGACTGGGGAATCATTCGCTTGAGTCGATACGATTAAATGCACTTTGTTAGAAGAGAAATGTTACCGTCATCAGAATTCAAGAATTCAGAAATAGAAACTATTCAATTATTGAACAGTTCTCACAGACACTATCGCAATCTATTGGAAAATCAAAGAATAAACATAGATTGTTCTATAGTTCCATAATTTTTCATTGCTCGACAAATGCTTTTTTTAGAATATTTTCTGCAATCATGAATTCACTTTTGCCAGCGAATCCTCTGAATTTGATGCGAGTTCAATATATATCTTGGATAATGTGTTATTTTGAATTTGAAAATCAGGAAACTATAAAAAAATCAAAGAAAAATTTCTATTTTTTGATAGATATTATATTCCCGATCTATAGCTGTCTGAGTTTATATGCAATCAGAAAAAAAGATTAATCTATATGTCGGATACAATGACTGATTGAAAGTGTGAACCTCTGTCGACTATATACGTAAACAGTTTGTCAAAAGTAACAAAAAACTTTTAAACTTCGACGTACCACAAAATAAAGCACTTTGTGCAACAAAGTTGTAACCTTGTTTTAGTCTATAGTACGTTGAACGTTTTTGCACTTAAAGTAAGAAAAACTTTTCATTTTACAATATTTCAAGACACTTCACTTTTTAGTTTGAGTATATTCAAATAATTTTTCTAGGATGGCTCAATACTGGTAGCATGAATACTGCACGATATTATCATGAAGTATCCCTACTAACAAATGGAAAAGTGTTAGTTACTGGTGGATATGATGGTATTTCTTATTTGAATAGTGCTGAGTTGTATGATTCATCAACAGGAACATGGACAACTACTGGTGATATGAATAATGTACGATCTGTACATACAACATCCGTATTAACAAATGGAAACGTGTTAGTTACTGGTGGAGTTGATAGTATTGCTGCTTCAAATAGTGCTGAGTTGTATAATATATCAACTGGCGCTTGGACAGCAACTAGTAGTATGAATACTGCACGATATCATCACACAGCATCTGTATTAACAAATGAAAATGTGTTAGTTACTGGTGGTCTTTCAAATAGTGCTGAGCTATATGATCCATCAATAGGTACTTGGACCACAGCTGGTAATATGAATAATGTACGAGAAACACATACAGCATCAATATTACTAAATGGAAAAGTGTTAGTTGCTGGCGGATCGAATGGTAGTTCTAGTCTAAATAGTGCTGAGTTGTATGATCTGTCAACAGGAATTTGGACAGTGACTGGTAGTATGAACAATGCACGATATCGACATACAGCATCTGTTTTAACAAATGGGAAAGTATTAGTTGTTGGTGGGCTGGATGGTATTTCTTATTTGAATAGTGCTGAGTTGTATGATCCATTAAGAGGAACTTGGACAACAACTGGTAGTATTAATAATGCACGATATGATCACACAGCATCTCTACTAACAAATGGAAAAGTATTAGTTACTGGTGGACACAATAGTGATACTTTGAATAGCTCTGAGTTGTATGATCTATCAACAGAAATTTGGACAACAACTGCTAGTATGAATAATGCACGATCTTACCATACAGCAGTCGTTTTAATAAATGGAAATGTGTTAGTTACAGGTGGATCCGGCACTATTGTTTTGAATAGTTCAGAATTATATTAATTTTCTCAAACAAATGAACAATCAATCATTTTATGTTCATAGATACATTCGATCGGTGACTGCTTCTCTCGGTACATGATATTTTATCCCATTACATTTGGTTTTGAGTTGAGACTATTCGTTCTCATTACAGAAATATGAAATAAAGTTTATTTTAATGAAATCGAGTATTTATTTTAAAGTTCATAGCACTTTCAGCTAGATATTCCTCAATATTCTTGACACTGAAAGACAGCGTGATTCTTTTTAACCGTGCATTGAGATTAGCCGAAACGTGTTTCTTTTTCTTTGATTTTTTACTTTCACGAACTCTTTCAATATCGATCTCGAATGTAGATTATTCATGTAAGATACATTGATCGATCATAGCAAGTCTTCTATAACCCGCCCACAGATATTTTATAACTTTAAGCTAAACTGTGTTTGAAAAGGTTGACTATCTAACTCAACGCTATCCGCTATTAAACACATGAAAAAGAACTAACGAGGGAACCGTTCGAAGTGATTCAAAGCTTTCAAGCTGATATTTTGCCGATAAGTAGAGTCCAATGAGACTAGAAAAAGCCCAAAAGGACAAAGGCCCATGGGCCTTCCTTCTCGAGTTATGGTCATTTTACTGGGTTTATCACCTATAATACGATATTCACCGAAAAATCAAATTAAGGAGTTTCGACCTGAAATTTTGCCCACATGTAGGTCTTGTGGTCCGTATATTAGCCTGAAAGTTTCAGCCAAAACGAATGCACTGTTCTCGAAATATTAAGTTTTCAAGAAAAGTCGATTTTTTTGGTATGTATGCAACATGGCACTGTTTTCTTGAGATTGCAATATCTCGAGAACGGCGCTTTCGTTTTGGCTGAAACTTTCAGGCTAATATACGGGCCACAAGACCTACATGTGGGCAAAATTTCAGGTCGAAACTCCTTAATTTGATTTTTCGGTGTATATCGTATCATAGGTGATAAACCCAGTAAAATGACCATAACTCGAGAAGGAANTGGATAAATCAAATCGTCCTACTCTTGGAGCAGAACATTCGATGGATCAGATTATGCCATTTGCATACTAGCGCGGGTAGTACTGTATTAATAAAGTTATTTTATCAGTGGCTCTTCTGGAACCTCCATGGGGGGTAAAGGGTTAAATCACTAGGTGTATATATATTCATAGAAAGGAGAAGCAACGATAACAATAATAATAGAATAGAAAGAAGAAACGAGAGACAAAGAGATAGAGAATCGAGGGCAGACAGAGTGTGAATCATCGTTAGCAATAAGTATCTTGTGTCTACTGGGCGATTATCTAATTCTGGTCTGAACATTTCATTGAGAATATCAAAGAACGGCGGTTTAACCAGGTCAAAGTCCGAAAATTTTAGACTTGATATGCTCTAATCAACCTTATCTTCATTTTCATGCAGTGGATGAGAAAAGAAATCATCTGATATAAATGCTACATTTGCTTGAGTTTTATTGCCATGATGTGGGTGTGGGTGTAATATAGCTACCACAATACCGTAGGTATTTCAATGCTGCAGACTCAATCTTATCATTTGGCACAATTATCAGTATAAAAGATCCAAAAATAAAATTTTTGGATCAATACCTAATACTATTTCTACTTATATTAGGGTGTGGGCGTGTGAGTGTGGGTGGGTGTCGCTGAGGGCATGGGTGCGCATGTCAGTTCTCTTGTAAGCCAGAGTCACACCCCACACCTACACCCACACCCTATTAAATTAAAAGGTTACGATTTTATCGGAATTTTTTTCTACTTAATTCAGCGTTAAAAACTTGAGCATGTTCCTATCATACTGGTTAGTGTTATTTGGAATAGGTGAGTACACTGAAAAATACTCTGTGGCATTGTTCCATTGATAAATTAGAAGAAAAAAAAACGGAAAATTAGTCTAAATTGTCCGAAACAGAAACCATGACAATAATTTACCATGAATTTGAAGAGTTACTTTATTTTATTAAGTTTATTTCTTAAATGCAAAAATGAAGAGAGTCTTGACCTTTCACAAAGAGCGATAAAAAGTAAAGTGTAAAAATCTGAATTGAGTTCATCAAAAAAGAAAAGTAAGTAACAAGACAAAGAATTGTTCCTATAAATAAGATATACAGACGTTGGTACTGACTCTTCACTATGAATAGAAGATTCATTTGCATATTTCAATGTATATTGTCGGACAATATAAATCATATTTATCTCGATCTTTGATAAAGCATTTGGCAGTTTTATTGTTGTTAGGATTGTGCATAATAGGAGTATCAAGAATAGATGATATAGAAAGTAAAATTCTTTCCATAGTAAATACTGGAGACCAGTCGCGTTAAACAAATGTTCAAGCCTACTTCACCGGTTGAATAAATATTTGGATAAAACATTTTTGTTAGCATTGTATTTTTTAATGGTTGTACTGAATGTTCATTAGAATAAATAAAATCTAAAAATGAATACACCGTCTTCAAACGGTGTTTTAATTGAACCAGGATTTTCCCACGCCAATGAAATATGTCTTCCTTCATTTGTTCAGCAAATACATAACCAGGTGCCTGTCTTTGAAATTCTTTCCATTCTCCCTTTATCGAACTTTTTGCACGAATCATAAGTTAGTACAAAATAAATGCAAAAAAATTCGTATTGATCATTTTACTGATTCATTTATATGTAAAAGTTGATCACCATGTTGGTCATTATGACACTACGAAGATTTTTTATAGAAAGGATGACAAAGAAAAAAATGCGAATCTTTTCATTATGAATTTATTAAAAAGACAATATTACGTTTTGATGTCATTCTTTTTTCCTTCCAGTTACACAAAACATATTACTTTGGAGAGTAATACATTGATTGTTTGTTTCTCACAATCATTGTAATAAACACGGCTCTTAGTAACCACATCAATAGATTTTGTTATGGGATTGAATTCATTGAAAAACAAAGATATATTTGAAAAACAATCATGATTGATAATTAAAAAAATCTTGATACTTATTAAGGGTGTGCATAAGGGTATGGTTAGTCATGTGACAGATTATCCACACCCAGCCTTGTCAAATGTACGGAATTTAAAAAAACATTTCAATAATAATTTCTGAGTCAGTTATAGATTAGTAATTTAAAAAATAGGACAGTTTCAGGCAATTCTAATAATTATTAGACCTATCTATGGGCAAAATTTCAGGTCGAAATTCTTTAATTCGATCTTTTCGGAAATCTCTTGCCTCAGTAAAACGGCTGTAACTCTTCACCAATAGGCCATGGGCACGAATCCTTTTAGGCTTTTCTTAGTCTCGTAGAGTCCTGCCTTGGAGTCATAATATGGAGTCGAACGGCGTCCTTAAGTTGGGGACCTTCTCTCGTTAGAACTTTCGGCTCAAATGAATTTTTCCTTCTTGAGATATTGAATATTTAAAAAACGGTCATGTCTTATGAGCTGAGGCAAAAAATTCAATGTCTTCAATATTTCACTATGGACCAATATTTTTAGAACATTGTAATGGCAAGTTTCAGATCAATATTCCTTAATTCGATTCTCTTACCTACATATAGTTAAACTATGTTTTTTTAGAATTCGTGAACAATCAGCTTTTCTTCAAGCATTACGAAGTTTACCAACTTATTCTGAACTTCCATCTGCAATAGTTGATTATCTTGATTATAATTCTAAATCAACAATTTCACAAACATTTGATCCATTACGTACATTAACACCAACATCAAATTTGTCATCACAACCAGTAGCTACTAGTCCACATTCACATATGTTTTCAAGAATGAATAGTGTACCATTAATGACAACAACTAATCAACAACCATTTAATCCTATTGGAAAAGAAAATATTGCACAAAAAGGCGTATGTATTTAATTTAATTATAAAAATTAACTTAAATTTTTTTTAATAATTTTTTTAGCCATCATTAACACAAAATGCAAATATTCGTACATTAATTAATGATCCAAGTTATAATCTTGTTCGTATAAAACAACTACCTGAACATATTAATGATAAAATTGCATTTACATTTAATAATTTATCAGTTTCAAATCTTTCACAAAAGGTTTTATTTTTCAAAAAACAAAAAAAAAACAAAAAAATTTTCTTTTTTGTGAAATTTTAGGCATAAGAATTAAAAGATTTATTAAATAATGATGAACAATTATGGAAATGGATTGCACAATATTTAGTTATAAAACGTATTTCATTAGAACATAATTTTCATTCATTATATGCTGGTTTTCTTAATACACTTAATATCAATATTCTTTTTGATACAGTTTTAAGTGAAATACATCGAAATATAAAAGTAGAGAAAAAAAACCAAAAAATTTAAATTTTCAAAAATAAAACAATGAAATTTTTTCAATTTAGATTCTTTTATTAAGTGATAAACAAATTAATAATATTCCTGATCGTTCATTATTAAAAAATCTTGGCCATTGGCTTGGAATGATTACAATCGGAAGAAATAAACCAATTCTTGCTACGGTTTGCACAAAAAAAAACAGATAGATTTTACCGTAATCCTTAGTCAAAAGATTTTTAATATTTATAGAATTTAAAACCTATTTAAATAGGAATTAGTCTAGTATAGTATTCGGGTGCGTTAAGTTTACCTTGCGGGAGAGAAAGAGTAAAAATAATCAAGGCATTTTCTGTCATAGATCGATATGCTAGCTAAAAGCTGATGGAAACTATTTTGTAATATCTCTTATCGTTCGTTAGTTATCTAAGTCACCGTGATTCATCTTCTATTTTGAATCAAGAAATGTTTTTGTAGAGTATATGAAATAAAATTATGTGTTTTTTTTCTTTTTTTAGGATTTGGAAATTAAATCTTTAATTATTGAAGCATATCATATGGGTCCACAAGAATTATTATATATAATACCATTTGTTGCAAAAATTTTAGAATCATGTGCAAAAAGCAAAGTAAAAAAAAAAAGAAACTTAAATATTTGTTTGATTTATTTTAAAATAAAATAGATTTTTCAACAACCAAATCCATGGTTAATGGGTATTATGTCTGTTCTTGCAGAAATGCATGGTATACCAGATTTTAAATTAAATTTAAAATTTGAAATTGAAGTTCTTTGTAAACAATTAGAAATTCCATTAAATGTAAGTAGCACATATATTTTATAATGATCGAATCAATCATTCTGATACATTTCGGATCTAACCATAACTGACATTTGTAATGCATGAGGACTCGATACATTATCGAAAACTTTTATAATATATTCTCTGTTTGTTATTAGTGAGTATAGCAGATCGTTATGGTATTCGATTTCTAGAATCTGAATGAATAAAAAATACAGTTATGAATTGTATTCTCTGGTATTTTTCTCTACAAATTGATGTCTACGGTATATAGATGTCCATTGCGGCTGAGAGTCTACCGCTGCCGTGATGCGATGCACTATTAAAAAAGCTTGACGCTCCTGCCGCGATGGTATTCAAAAAAATGTTTCGATTTTCACGGCAGTGAATTGTTTGCATTAGACCTGATGCTGCTACTCGGTCCGATTTGCCAAATCTTACAGTATCACATATATGAACATCGAGATTCTGTGCAAATACACGTATTTTTAAAATTTCTTCCTAAAAAAGCTGCTGCGACGCCATGGACATCTCTGCTGTGGTAGAGTACACTGACATATCTTCAAAATTTTACTGATGTAAATATCATCATTGTTTTTTTTTTTTTTGAAGCTGAGTCCGAGTCGAAAGTAGCATTCAATGCTTATTATAGACTTATTCGAGTTTTGTGACTCCTTTTCTCATAGCAACCGAGAACAACAGATGTCAGAGCTCTTCAACAACGAAAAACGATACTGAACAGTATTGCACAGATAAAAAATTTATATTCAAGATACCAAAGATGATGAATAATCATAATCGTCAACTGATCAATATTAAAAGCTTGAATTGATTAAGTTAGAAATTTAGGAAATAATCAATATCAATGTATTTCTGAGTTTATTGAGATGTAAGAAAAAATGAACAGCAACACAACGAAAAAAACAATTGAGTGTCGGTAAGAAGAAAAATTTTGTTCGAAATGTAGAAATAAATAAGACACAGCATTTTCCTAGCAATTCGATTGTCCTTATAACACAAGTATCAGAATAATGAGACTAATGAACACATGTGGATTCCATGTTTTAGCCTTAAAAGAGCTGCGCTGACAAGATTTTTAACAAAAATCAATTAAATGAAAACTTTGCTAAACTTGTTTTTTTTTCTCTCAGGAACTTCCTATTCATCATATATTAATTAATAAAGATTATTTTGATAAAATTGAAAAACAATTAACAAATCCAGCTTCTCAAACTGTATCTATACCAGCACCTATTACTCCATCACCTCAATCATTATCATCATCATCATCAACTACAACAGCAACAACAACAACATCAACAATAACACCTATATCTGAACCACAATTTCGTTTATCAGATTTTAAACCATCAACATTTCAATCATTGAGTTCTATGCTTAAACTTAATTCAAATATAGCACTTTTTCGTATACATCCAAATCTTAAAACACATATATATTCACCAATTGAACAAGCAATTAATGAAAGCTTTCAAAAAGTTCAACGTTCACTTAAAGTTGCAACAACAGCAGCTGAAACAATAGCACGAAAAGATTTTCTTTTAAATCCAGATGAACAACAATTACGTACATCAGCACGTAATATGGTTGCTTATTTAAGTAGTGGTCTTGTTTTTATAATAGCACGTTCAGCATTACAAGAACAAATACAATCATATATTAAATCTCATTTTTGTACTGTACTTGATATATCTCAAACATCAACAATAAATAATAATAATACTAATAATAATGCAAATAATAATAGTAATAATTATAATGAATAAGCAGCAACGCTTGAAATGATTCAACAAGCTGCAAATGAAATAGAAACATCAAACATTGAATTATGTTGTTGTCTATTACAACGAATAACAATAAGTCGTGCTATACAATTAATTGATCAACGAGTACCATATGTTCAAGGAAATCACATCCTTTCAGTAGAGGGTTACCGACGCTTGCGTCGCGTTACTTTTTATTTTAGAAATTGAGATCGAACAGAAGAAAAACAAAGTAATGTTTAATTAATACTTCTATTATATCGTACAGTTAAAACATTTGAACCAACTATTTATCGAAATGTTATTTATCATATTGATATAAATGATCATTTTAAAAAATATTTTCATATGAATATTAGTACACAATATCAACATATACCATTTATGACACATTATAATGAATTGAACGATTACGTAAATCAAAACAAAAAATAATTAAAATGTTTTATCTTTTTTTTTTTCCTTTTCATTTAGATATTAAAATATATTTGCCTGGTTCTTATATAAATTCACGAGATTGTCTACCAGTTATTGTTACATTATCAAATTTTGATGAATTATTTGTTTATTATTTTGAAGAAGATTCTCATATAAATATACATAATGTTGATCTTATTAAATATTGTTCAAGGTAATATTGGTTCTATTTTTATTTCTAATTCATACTTTAGATTATGGATAAATCTATGTCGCTTCCTTTTTTCTATAATATTCTTCATCATTTGAAGCACATTAGTACAATAATATAGAAATATATGTCATAGTAGAGACATATATAATAAACGTATATCGGCTTTGTTTTCTAAACAATAGGAAAGAAAAAGAAAGATGTATAAAAGAAAATAGTAGTAGAGATGTGAATATAAAAGTATCGTCCGATATTCATTCACATGATTATTCGTTCGTATATACACTACTGATCTTTGCTTTATTTCTAGCTTATATCATGTTGTTGGTGGCGTACAAAGATTATCAAAAACAAGTAAAAAAAAACAACAAATATTCGGTAACTTTTAGACTTTTTTAGGTTCGAGAAACTTATACTCGCTTGATGGCTGATTACAATACGATGAGAAACTTAGAAAAGGAAAAAATAGATTGAATCGGATTTAAACCAAGTTGGTGTTGCATCTGGTGAATATTCATCCAATCCACCTGGTTCTAGTTCTATATCCGGTACACATTCATCAACTCCACCAGATCATGACATTGGACCTGCTGCATATTCGTGGAATTCACCAGGTCATGGTATTGCACCTACTGGATATTCATGGAATTCATCAAGTATTGATCCTACATTTGTTGCATATTCATCCAATCCATCAGCTAGTATTATTGCACCTGGTGCAAGTTCATCGCATCTACCAAGTGCTAGTGCATATCCAATTAATCAAGATCTAGATAAAAAAAAATGAATAGACTTATGCAAATAGAGGGACAAATATTAGAGCTCGAACAAACCATTGGCATAGCTTTTCAAGTTTTAATTGCAGCGGACCAAGAATTTGGTAATCAATATAGAAAATTAAAATTCCTTTTAATTTTTTAATTTTAGATATGGCCAATTAAAACAAGGTGGTGATGATTCATTTCATGATCCATTTTCAGGGTAAATTTTCGTTACATAGATAAATACTAAATTCTTCGGGTTTTTTTTTGTCTGTAGTTTTTTTGGTGATTTTTTTCATTTTGGTGGTTCGAGAGATGATGGATATAATCAAGTACCACGTGGTGGAGATTTAGTTGTGGATTTATATGTAATACTTGAAGAAGTTTATAATGGAAATTTTATTGAAGTAAGAACTTTTTAAGGAAGACTCCTTCTCAACAAAGAAATTTGTTTTTTTCGAGCATTCAATCTTGATGAAATTTCTAGTGGAGATGTATCTCGAGGTAGAAACCTCACAATAAAAGTTTCAGCTCGATACATTGAATCTACGAAGAATTAGCTTAAAGTTATGGGTCAAAATCTAGGTTTTCATGTATCCCAAATTTCTCTGCCATTTTAAATGCTAGAAAGCTCGGGTTGGTTTTAAAATATAGCCAAAGTGTGGTGCTACAAGTTAATAGGGACCGATTTTTGGATTTTCTTCTAGCTTGTGTTTCTAGAAAACTTCTCTAATGAAATACGAAAAACCCAGGAGGAGGGGTGTAGGTTCAGAATGGTTAGTTTTTTTTTATAAATATTAATGGAGAAGATGAAAAATGCAGCTCTGGTAAATTGTAGAGCTAATGTTTGTCTTCATTTTGACACTTAGCTCAGCTTTCTAGCATTTAAAATGGCAGAGGAATCACGGACACACGAAAATGTAAAAATCAAAAGTTTTTAGAAGAAAAAAAACGTAAATTTCTTCTGTATGAGGGTTCAGAAAAGCCTATACAATAACCTTAAATCTTATCATAAAATCGATAAATTTGGCCAAAATTGACTTTTTTGGGGGTGGTCTTAATTTTATTTTGCATTCTAAAATCAATTATTTAGGTTGTTCGAGCTAAACCCGTAGCAAAACAAACAGCTGGTTCACGAAGATGTAATTGTCGAATGGAAATACGAACAACTCAAATGGGTCCTGGACGAGTAAGATTTATCAAAAAATTTCTCTTGCAAAAAAATATCTATGATAAAATTGAGATATGTCATATGTATAATGTGAGAAGGTTATGCAGTACAAAAAGAAATATAAGAAGATAAAAGAATCTATTTTCATACACAGATGTCAGAATAAGAATATATTATTGCGAAAGTTATGCATATATGACATAAATATGTGTAATGTTCTTGTATATCTAATAGATAGATATCGAACTGTTTATTTGATCTCTATAGCAGAATAATATGTTTATTGAGAATGGCTTCTTGTTTTAGTTTCAAATGATGCAAGAACAAGTATGTGATAAATGTCCAAATATAAAGTAAAGAAAAATTTGATTGAAATAAATGAATTTAAGAATTTATAAATCTATTCTTTTAAAGATTTGTTACAGAAAAAATGGTATTAGAAATTGAAGTAGAACCAGGTGTAGCTGATGGATATCAAATACCATTTATGGCTGAAGGTTGATTTTCTAACAGAACTGCTTTGTTTTTTTTTTTTTTATTCAATTATGAAAAAAAATATTTTTCGTATTGATTTAGGAGAACCTCATATTGAAGGTGAACCAGGTGATTTGAAATTTATTATTCGTATTCAAAAGTAAATATGAAACTTTTATTTATTTCTTAACTTAAATATTTTGTTTTTCTTTTTTGCTTTTAATAGACATGCAAGATTCGAACGTAAAAATAATGATTTATACACAAATTTAACAATAACTCTGAAAGATGCACTTAATGGTTTTGATGTATCATGTCCTCATCTTGATGGACATAATGTAAGATACTATAGTAAATATTTTATATCGAGTGAGGGCATACACTGAATCTGAACATTTGGATTCGATCTTGATTGCGATCATTTTTAGTTAATTAATAACAGAAAACAGAAATAACCCACAAAAAAAGGATCTCAAGCTTGACTATAGTAGATCTACACTTAGTGGAAAAAATAATATAAAAAATCGAAGATATGTAGGCATTCGGAAAAAAGCTGTTAACACAATCCTTGCGGGATTAAAATGTGAGATACGATGTAGTTGCTGTTGCTAATCACAAGGAGATTGTTTTATTCTATCGAGTTTGAGACACATTCCTTCACCATCCTTTTATTTGATCCTTCAGAAATACAATAAGGTAGTAGTTCATATATTATAACGAAACGTCATTTTTATACATCTGTGGTGAAGGAGAGATGTTCCTAGGACTACTTCAACACTTCTTTTAGATCCTATTTCACAAAAGATTAATAATGCTCAGATTATAATTGAACTCGAACTCTCAACTGAAGCTTAGAGTGTCTTTGTAATTGTCCCTATACCTCAAGAAACGATTGAGCAAATATTTGACACTGTCCGAGTTGATTGGATAGTTTTCGAATATGGAATCATTCGCCCTAAATATCAAGCTAGAGTTCGGATTAGTTAAATGTCTATATTGTATTGTAAAATAATTGTTCGATACTTCTTTTAAGGTAACAATTAAACGTCAAAAAATTACTTGGCCTGGTGCTCGAATAAAGAAAAAAGGTGAAGGTCTACCACAACATGATCAAAATAATATTGTTGGTGATCTTTATGTTACAATTGATATTGATTTTCCTAAAGGGGAATTCAATGATGAACAACGAGAAGGTAATTTTTTTGGAAGATTTTTCTTATTAATATACGAAAGAATGTTTTGTTTTTTTAGCTATTAAAACTTTATTACAACAAGCATCGAAACATCGATTATATAATGGCTTATAGTCTATTGATCGATTTATATTTGTTGTAATTTTGTTTAGTCTAATATTTGTTTTCTCTTTTTTGTTTTTTTTTTATTTGTCTCTATTGTGATTGTTTATTCATGGATAACTTATTATGTGCTTGCTTTATTTATTTTCTTGGTTAGATTAACAGTTCAGAATAAAATAAAACCTGGTGAATTTATGTGATCTTTTTCGTTTTGTTTCTATTCTGGTCTGATAATCAAGTAGTTCTATTCTAAAAAATTTTCTTCTTTATTCATGTGTTATATAGTTAGTTTCAAAAGAAATATTATGACATACATATATATATATATATTTATATGCTTTTTTATGATACAAAGTCCATGTTTGACAATTAATTCAGACAAAAAAAAAGCTGCAAATGATTTCTTCTTTTAATTTTAATGTTCTAGTGTTTGCTTTTTGTTTAAGTAATTTGATGAAGTTTCAACAGCAAAATAAAACTTAATATTTAAAGATAAGTTCATTTGTTATAAAAATGCATCGAAATAGTCAATTCAAATCATACAATATATGATATGTTTTTATATTTTGGATTTAAGACTTAATCATAAATTCTATTCAAATTTAGTTTTCGGAAATCTCTTTATAAAACTTTCAGAAAGAGATTCTCTATATGTGTCAGTAACTTTCTAGCTAGACTAACGTTGCATTTGTCCAGAAATTAGGAAACTCTTCATTGTACATCTCTATTTTTTCATACAACACGGTTCATATCAATCTAGCTAGTGTCGAGAGACACAAATATCAGGGCGCAATTGAACCACACATACTCCTTACGAAAGAAAAATCCAATTGTGTCATTGTACAAGCCTACGTTGTAGGAAAAAAAAACAACATGTATTTCGATAGAGAAAATGACTTCAGCAATGGTTACACCTGTGCATATATCCCAGGAAGGAGCGAAATATCGATATATTCGAAATCCGAGTGTTTCAACGGAATGACACCGACGGTCAATATTGGTGAACAAATTGTTAGCCAAGCAATAACTAGGCCAAGAGTAGCTATATCCATAAGTAGTATTGACTATAAACGTATTTGGAATGACGAAAATGTGCCCCGAGAATTCTTCTGTCCTATCTGTACGTGTTTACTATAACAACTACGTTCCTGTGAATTATGCCAGAATTTGTTCTGCAAGGCCTGAATTTCAAAGTGAGTTCAGGTAAATACGAGCTGTCCATATGGATGTGAACAGTACGAGAATAAACGTTGTCCACCGTCGATTCGGTGTCTATTGTTCAAAACATCTAGATTCGATGTCAACGTGTCTAATGCGGCTGTAATGCTGCGCTTTCTTATGACACATTAGAGGTGCATCAAACAAACCAATGTGCATATCCCTCTACTCAATGCCACTATTGTGAGAGTCTTATGCTAGTGAGTGCAATCGAAGCTCATGAGCAAGAATGTGGCCAAAGATTTGCAAGCTGTCATATATGCAATTGTTTCATTCCATTGTATTTGTCGCAACAGTCTTGTATCCTAGTGAACTCGCAACACTACTTGCAAACCATTAATCAATTGCAGAACTTAACACAGCCCGTCTACATATTTCAAGCTGACACTCCAATACAGGACCTGAGAATTACATTAGGAAGCTTTTTCGCTTTTACCCCCAGAAGAGCGAGATATTCAGGAGCGATGCCATAATTTAGTTTGGTGGCGCCATTTTTGATCTTTAGCTTGTCTTATTCTTAAGAATTCGTTCGATGCCTCCCACATCCTCCTTACTGTGTTGGAATTGCTGCATATCTACTGCTTTATATTCAATAGAAGAAAGTATAAAAGCAGTTGTCTCGTCAGGGCAATATACAATTCTATTTTTTGAACGTAATGCAATAAATAGATAAGATGATATGAACAATTGTTGTTGTGAACAACTCACTTTTAATACGAGATTTTCTCTCCATAGATGGCTGACATTTTCTGTGCCATACCTGATCTTGTAAGAACTACAATTTACACGGAAGATTTTTATTCAAATAATATTTTTACAAAATTAAACTGATAACAACGGAAAATAACGATATACATTGTCTGTATATACTATTGAATTATCAACAATTAATCGTTTCACTTTCGCACAATTACGTCGCATTTGATCTTTTGTAAAGTTTTCTGTCACAAATTCCAAATTCATATAAGTGACTTTTAATTCAGTCAAATGCGGCAAATGTGTCTTTGTTTCATTGAGAAATTGTTCGACATAACAAACATTTGCACAATCGATATCAAGTGAAATAAGATGCGGATACTCAACGATCGCGCACCAGTCTTTATCACGAAGGTGGTAACTTTGACCCAAAAACGATGGTAGAATATTAAAAAAAGATAAATTTTTAAGGAATGGAAAAGCTCGAGTAAGTCGAATGAAAAATTCATATTTGAATGGATCTTTGTCCCATAATTTTAAATGAGTAACAGAATTAAATATAATGTTTGGAAGATTATTTCCGATGTGTTCGAGAAGATGAAATTTAAATGGGAGTGAAAAAACGCGACATATCATTTTGTAAGGCTCGAAATAATCTACCATGCAAGCGACTTGCCAGCGTCCTAGATTTTTGAAAGTACGTTCAATATCTGAATGAAGTAGATGATTATTTGAATCAGTAATGACATTTTGAGAAGCTATATAAAATGTAAAACTATGAAGTTGTGGCAGATGAATAAGAATTTCATTATCAAGATAAGTGCCACTAATGAATGTCAATCCATTAAAAACATGAAGATACAAAGTTAATTCTTCGAGATGTTTCATTCGATGAAGAAGTAGAATTAGACTATCCAATGTATTGAAACTCCGATAACACGTTAATGAAAAACATTTTAAATTAGGAAGATCATTCTAAAAAAATAGAAAACAAATATTTAGAAATTCATCTTTATTATTTCAGTTAAGAAATTTACATCAATCATTAACATATCAATATTAGTTACTTTAAAAATATTGTTTTGTCATGTTTCATATGTTCTATTCAATACATCTGTTATCTATTAACCACGACGACAAAGATGTTTACATGCTATTTATTAAATACTCACATATAGAAACTAGTGAATAATTCAATAAAACTATAAAATAATATATAAGAAAAAGAATTTTCTCAGCGAGTTTCAAAGCATTTAGTTAGATTCATATTAAAGAAGTTAGAAAATTATTATTAAAATCAATAGTTCTTTTAAATATGTTCATTTCAATACTAAGAGTTTCTAACGATCAGAAGACAACTCAACTGTCGAAATTTATCTAAGAAACAGCTTTATTTAATTTATTTTGAAATAGATGAATGAGTTCAATACAACTTTTAAAAAAAAATATAAAACAAAATATATTCTATCCGATCATTCAATAACTACAAAGATTAATAAATAGCTTTCACATGAGCTATAATTAATTATGAATTCGAAATAACGTCAAAACATTAGAACAGTCTATCCCGAATTATTTCTTAATAATCAAAATTAAAACATTATGAGTAATGCAGAAATCTAATTGTTTCTTGCACTTCCAACAAACTTCATCTTATCTTCAATGTTAAACACTAATCAAGAAACGAGAATAATATGGAGTATAAACTCACCCTATTGTAAGATATTGCCATCCAATCGATGATATGTTCAACTTGAACAATGAGTGTAGTTAATTGTTTGAGTCGACCATCAAGCAAAGCCCAAACATCATAAAAATTATATACATTGATAGATAATTTAGTAAGTGTTGAAGAGGAAAATGTGTGTAATGGTAAATCCAGCAACGACAAATATGGACAATTGTCGATAAGTGATTGTGCGACAATCGTCAAACATTTCAAGTTTTCAAAGAAACTTGAGATAACTGCATAAACCTTCTCGGTATATACTCCTCCTTTTGTTTTAATATCTTCATTTCTGTTAAAAATGAGATTCGTTATTTGTTGTTTCAA